TGAATCAATAAAAATACGTAGGTGACACAGTTTTTGTCCGTGTGTATGCTGGTGTGTGTTCATTTGTGCGTGCGTTTGTGTGTCTGCTCAACGGGTGTACAGGTTGTGGTAGGAGGAGCAACATCCAATTGTGCATATGCGTCTGGTCCCTTTCCGATATCCACGTGGGAAAACTGGGAAAAGTGAATCGAAAGTCTCAAAGGAGTGTATGTACGCAGCTGTCAGGTTGGCCCAAGTCCGAAATAGCCCCTTACCCAAAGTTTGGTCAGACCGGGACTGTGACAAGAGGCTGTGTTGAGGTGGCTTGTGTCAGAGTGTATGCCGTCCTGTACCACAGCGCTTCCGTCTGTCCAGGCCGAAGGAGCGAGGAAGCGAGAGAGCGAAAAAGAGCGACAGCGAGAGAGCGAACGAACGAAAGGCGTGCATATGCATCCCCAGCCAGAGATACGGAAGAATTCCCGAGATACCAGCCGATGCAGTCAAGACTTGCGAGACCTTGGCCGTCGAGTCCCAACGGAGTCTGATTGAATCCCTTTTAAAGTGAGCCTACACAAACAATTTCATTCTAGCTTATGCTTCTTTTATATTTTCCTTGTATGCACCCTGTTCCTTTGGGGGGCACTTTAGTAAATAACTATATTTATATAAAATAACATTGCTATATGAGATAAAGTAATCGATAAAATAAAATGAACATGTTAATATTACCTTATGTGACTTGCTCTTAAACACACCCAAAACCTACAACGTCCACATACCATGACACTGACATTGCAAGATTGGATGCCTCTTTTCAATGAACAAGATGGGTGAATGAAGAGCCCTCAATTGGGTCAGCTTCCGGTTCCATTTCGCCGAAACTTCACTATTTAGAGGTACCATGTCTCGGAAAATATCAGTCGTCAACGGTGCACCTGAACCCCTCGATAATGCGATTTATGCCTTAGGCTATCGAGCATATGGTTGCCGGCACCCGCTTCGTGGCGAAACTTTTGCTATGCGACAAATAAGGACGGGTTGGGGGATAGTTCGTGATAGATATGAAGACCAAGATTGAGCAACGTTTTGTTTGATCGCAGTTTCCTTTAGCTGTAGACTGTCGATTTGGCGTTTTTTGCGCAAATTGTTCAGATTAATAGAGAGACATTGTGGAACATACCTAGTCCAGTGTCCTCTACCATAGCAGCCATTATGATTTCCGGAATCGGACCATTGACTCGGTACATTCCGAGATGTTTCGGTTGAACAGAAAATTGA